TTTGCCGCAAGTCTGACATTTGTAGGGTTTCTCGCCAGTGTGAATCCTCACGTGTTTACGGAGATCGCATCTTTCAGAGAAATGTTTACCGCAAGTCTGGCAACTAAAGGGTTTCTCGCCAGTGTGAATCCTCGCGTGCACACGTAAATTGCCACTAAAAGAGAACAGTTTGTCGCAAGTCTGACATTTGTAGGGTCTATCATTTGTGTGAGTCCTCAGGTGCGCATGCAGATGGCCACTTTGGGTGAATCCTTTGCCGCAAGTCTGACATTTGTAAGGTTTCTCACCGGTGTGTGTCCTGATGTGCTTACGGAGTCCGTTGCTATAAGCGAATCGTTTGCCGCAAAACTGGCATTTGAAAGGTCTCTCACCAGTGTGAGTCCTTATGTGTTCGCAGAGGTGACCAGTTTGAGAGAAACTTTTGCCGCAAGTCTGACATTTGTAAGGTTTCTCACCGGTGTGTGACCTGATGTGATAACGGAGTCCGTTGCTGGAAGCAAATCTTTTGTCGCAAGTCTGGCTGCCGTAGGCTCTCTCACCTGTGTGAGTAGCGTGCATACGATGGCCAGTACCATCCGCTGAACTGTCGCCACAGTGTTCACCGCTGTCCAGTTGATCGGCGGCATGAGTCCGCATGTGTGCCCGGAGGAGGACCGCCCTCCTGAAGGCCGCCCCGCAGGTCGCACAGCGGTGGGGCGCCTCCCCGGCAGCGTCCTGCTGGCGGCGGTCCTCTCCGTCCTGCGCTTGCTCCCCGCGAGCGCCAGCAGCAACGGCAGGCGGCGGCGCGGTGGCGGCTGTGGAGGAGAGCGACAGGGTGAGCGCAGCGCTTATCAGCATTATGGCGGGTTTACGATGGAGTTGGTGATTTCGGAACAGAACGAGATTTTAGCGGAACAGAACCAAATTTTCGGGTACGGAACGAAGGGGTGTTTATGATGTTTCAGTGACGGAACAGAACGAAAGTGTGTTGCGTATCGCAGGGACGCCTCCTCATTGGCTGACCCTTCGTTCCGTTCCGGAAAACTTCGTTCTGTTCCTGCTCCTTTCCATCAAAATGGGAACCCGTCGTTCTGTTCCTGTCTGAGATTTCGTTCCGTTCCGTTAAAACGCCATCATAAACACGCTTGTAAGAAACAAGCAAACGGGATTCGTTCCGTTAGGCACAAATTTCATTCTGTCCCGAAAATGCTCCATCGTAAACCCGGCATTAGTCAGTAGGCGACAGGCCGGTTACGTAAAAAGGGGGGGGGGGATTCTCGGACCAGGGTCCAGCCAGGCCGTCAGAGCATCCCGACGTGCGGGCGGGTACGACAGTGTACCAACAAGAGAACAGAGAACACGACGCCTCGAAGCTCCGTGAAACTTACAGAGAGAGGCTTCGTCCTGCAACCCTGTCTCCTTGTGCGTGTCGAACCTCACGGACCGCTTGGCGAAGCGGGTGGCCACGGAGGTGCTTGCTCCGGAGGTACCTTTCGGCTCGGGGGCAGTGCCTGGAACAAGAGAAGGTAAGGTAATCGGGCTAGAATTCGGAAAATAATAAATACTTTCGCCGGGAGCGCGCCGTCCCAGTCTTGGGGCGGACTAGTGTATAGGTGATATAGGTGTACTAGTAAGGTCGAAAGGTTGCAAGGTAACACGAGACTTTAGCCCTTCTCTTTCTCTCTTCCCCCCTGTCTCTCTCGCACCCAAGGTGGAATCCGGCGCTGCGGCTCGATTGGGAACTTAAGCGCAGCTCAGATTCGTACCGACCTGAAGCACGGTAATTCAATTTTTTGCTGTGTTTCAGATTTATTGGTAAAGCTACAATTAATAAAAGTAATAAAGATCATTCAAGCCAAACGGCGACCCAAAATGATTCACAAAACACTAAAATTACAGAGTAATTCAAAAAGAAAAACAACACAAATGTAGAAGAATAAAAACTTGAAATAACTACAGAATTGATTGAATAAATAGGATTCGTTATGGTTACTATATTTCTAGGAACAATAATTCATGGTAGTAACTATGTGCCCGGGAAGATTTTCAATCCCTGTTAAGGCAGCGCAGCTGCACAGCAGGACTGACATACCGGGTGTCCAGGCTAAGACATGCCAGTACGTTGGGTTGCCTCTGGACTGGCTGCAGGGGCTGCAGGCGCGGGCGGGTGGCGGGGGAGTGGTGGGGAAGGGCCACTTCCCCGCCACCCGTCCCGCCCCTGCAGCCCCTGCAGCCAGTCCATAGGCAACCCAACGTACTGGCATGTCTTAGCCTGGACACCCGGTACAAAAGATTTCATATCGGCATGTGACTGGAAAGATAGGCACAATAAGGGACAACTTTGCCAAAAGTCTAGTAAATGTGGAGTTTAATAGTAGTGTTGTGTCCTCATGTCTTTTGAGAAAAAAAGGCGTGGAGAAACATGTGCCACAAGTCTAAAAAAATGTGGGGTTCTCACCGGTGCGAGTCCTCATGTGCATATAGAGATGATGACTGTCAGTGAAACCTTTACCAGAAGTCTGGCCAGTTCTAGGGTTTCTTAACCGTGTGTGCTGAGGTGATTCCACATGTGTGAAAGCAGGATGGTACTTTGAGAAAATCTTTCGCCGCACGCCTGGCATTTGTAAGGTCTAACACCTGTGTGAGTCCTCATGTGAACACTGAGTGTGGTGCTCTGAACGAAACTTTTACCACAAGTCTGGCACTTGTAGGGTTTCTCACCGGTGTGTGTCCTCATGTGGTAACGGAGTTGGCTAGTCTGAGAAAATCTTTCGCCACACGCCTGGCATTTGTAAGGTCTCTCACCTGTGTGGGTCCTCATGTGAACACTGAGTGTGGTGCTGAGAGCGAAACTTTTGCCACAAGTCTGGCACTTGTAGGGTTTCTCGCCGGTGTGTGTCCTCAAGTGGGAAGATAGGTGGGTAGTTTGAGAGAAACATTTGCCACAAGTGTGGCATTTATAAGGCTTCTCACCTGTGTGTGTCCTCATGTGCCCACGGAGGTGACTATTTTGAGAGAAACCTTTCCCACAAGTCTGGCATTTGTAAGGTCTCTCACCAGTGTGAGTCCTCATGTGCACACCGACTGTGTGTTTTTGTGTGAAACTTTTGCCACAAGTCTGGCATTCGTAAGGTTTCTCACCAATGTGTGTCCTGATGTGTTTGTGGAGTGCGGTACTCTGAGCAAATCCTTTGCCGCAAGTCTGGCATTTGTACGGTTTCTCACCTGTGTGCGTCCTAATGTGTTGACGAAGGTACCCAAGGCGAGAAAAACATTTCCCACAAGTCTGACAGTTGTGGGGTCTATCACCCGTGCGTGTCTTCGCGTGTCTATGAAGGTCAGCACTTCCCGCTGAACTGTCGCCGCAGGGTTCACCACCGTCCAGTTGATCGGCGGCATGAGTCCGCATGTGGGCCCGGAGGAGCGCCGCCCTCCTGAAGGCCGCTCCGCAGGTCGCACAGCGGTGGGGCGCCTCCCCGGCAGCGTCCTGCTGGCCGCGGTCCTCTTCGTCCTGCGCCTGCTCCCCGCGAGCACCAGCAGCAACGGCAGGCGGCGGCTCGGCGGCGGCGGCTGTGGAGAGGGTGGGTCTTGAGCGGTATAATGGAAAAGGGCGGGCAGTTACGTACTATAGGGAGATAAGGACTATTGGACGCGGATCAAGCCAGGCCGGGCTGATGCGGTGGAGCCGTCGGAGGATGCCGACGTAGCGGCGGGTTTGCCAACTTACAGGAGACCATGGCGCCTTGAGGCTCCGAAGCGCACGCGACCCGCACGCAAACCTGAACGCGCCCGCCGTCGTGAAACTTACCGAGGGAGACGTGGTCCTGCGGCCCGGGCTCGTGCGTCTTGCTTCTCACGGCCCGCTTGGGGTGGCGTGGAGCCGGGGGGGCCGCGGAGGTCCTGGGCTCGTGGGCGGCGCCTGCAATGAGAGATAGCTATAGGGCTACAGGGAATGCGGTGAGCCTTGTGGCTCCGAGCGCGTAGGCTACCCTCCCGCAGGCTGCATGCAATTCACCTGCTGGCCGTCGCGAAACTTACAGTGGACGGCGGCAACATGCAGCTCTGGCTCCGGCGTCTTCTGGCTTAGGGCCCGCCGAACGGTGCGGAGGGCCATGGCCTCGGGGGTGCTGAGCGCAGGGGTGCTGTGCACGGGGGTGCTGTGCACGGGGGTGCTGAGCCCGGGGGTGCTGTGCCCAGGGGTGCTGTGCACGGGGGTGCTGTGCACGGGGGTGCTGTGCACGGGGGTGCTGTGCACGGGAGTGCTGAGCCCGGGGGTGCTGTGCCCGGGGCTGCTGAGCCCGGGGGTGCTGTGCCCGGGGTTGCTGTGCACGGGGGTGCTGAGCCCGGGGGTGCTGTGCCCGGGGTTGCTGTGCACGGGG